GTTCCCTTCTACTCCTAGTTTTCTCAGTTTTTATCATGAGTGGGTAGTGAATTTTATCAAATGCTTTTTCAGCAAATGTGTTTTTATAAAGGTTGGTCTTACAATTACAATATGCCTCTTTAACTTACTACAGTCTGCCTTGAATTATCACTGTTATATATCACTTAGTATATAATGTAAGAATCTTACAACTGTATATTTCCGTTTACCCCACTCACATTCTTTGTGCTTTATTGTCATACGTTTTACTTTTACATATGTGTAAACTCCAGGATGAAATCATATTTTTGCTTTAAACGTTTAGTTGTTTTTAAAATAAATTAAGAAATGAGCGGGGGAACTGTCTTTTATATTTACATACTGTGGTAAATTGTGATTTATAGTAAAAAATTTATATTTGATCTTCATCCCATTCCTGGCACAGAGTTCCTAAAACCCTTGGAATTTCCTAAGTGATGAGAGAGATAAAAAGTGTCTATTATTACGTTAATAAGGTGACTGTTGGAATGCCTCTAGGTCACCTGAGAATGGGGGCTGGTTGCCAGGGGAACTAACCGTGTCCCCAGTCCCCCACTCCATCCCATCCCTGCCTGCAGGGAGGGGAGAGGGGCTGGAGATTGAGTTCAATCACCAATGGCCAGTGATTTAATCAGTCATGCCTCTCTAATGAAGCCTCCTTTCAAAAAGACCGGGTTAGGAGAGAGAGTTTCAAGTTACTGAACACGCGGAGATACCAGGAGAATGACGTGTGAGAGCATAGAAGCTCCTCGCCCCTTCCCACATACCTTGCCCTATGTATCTCTTCTGTCTAGCTGTTCCTCAGTTATATCCTTTTATAATAAACTGGTGATCTAGTAAGTAAACCGTTTCTCTTGAGTTCTGTGAGCCACTCTAGCAAATTAATCAAACCCAGTGAGGGCGTCCTGGGAGCTTCCAACTTACAACTGGTCATTCAGAAGCACAGATGACAAGATGAACTTTCAGTTGGCGTCTGAAGTGAGAGTAGGAAGACAGTCTTGTAGGACTGAGCCCTTAACCTGTGGGATCTAATGCTACCTCCAAGTAGATATTGTCAGAATTGAGTTAATGGAAAAAACATACATTGGGCCCATAGTTACCATTTCTGGTGTTCCTCTTTCCTTCTTGAAGATCCAACTTCCATCTGGTATCATTTCTCTTCCACTCAAAGATGTTGCTTATTTTACTATTTTTGTAGTGCAGGTCTACTTGGAATGAATTCTCTTAGTTCTTGTTTATCTGGAAATGTTTTCATGTCACCTTCATTTATTGGTGGTGTTTTTACTTGTTGTAAATTCTAAGTTGATAGGTATTTTTTCTTTGTTTATTTTAAAGATGTTCCATTTTCTTCTGGCTGCTGATGAGGAGTCCTTAGAATTTCTTACTGTTGTTCCCCTTTGTGTCCTGTGTCCTTTTTCTCTGCCTGCTTTATTTTTTATTTTTATCAGTTTGATTATGATACCTGCATATGGTTTCCTTTACATTTATCCCACTTGGGGTTTACTGAGCTTCTTGAATCTGTGAGTTGACGTTTTTCATCAAATTTTGAAACATTTTAGCCATTATTTCTTTGTCCCAAATTCTCATCTTCAAGTACGTCTATGTTAGACTACGTGACACTGTTCCACAGATCACTGAGGTTCTGGTGTTTTCTATTGTTTTGCTTTGTTTATTTTGTTTTATCTTTTTGGGTGTTTTTCTCTATTTCAGTTTGAATAGTCTTCAAGATCCCTGGTCTTTTCTTTTGCAGTGCCCAATTTGCTGTTAAACCTATTCAGTGATTTTTTTTTTTCATTTCAGATATTACATGTTTCAGATCTAGAGTTTCCTTTTGGTTCATTTTTGTAGTTTCCGTTTCTCTTTGCTGATAGTCTCCATCTCATTATATACTTATTATATACATCTTGGTTGGTTGGTTGGTTGGTTGGTTGTTTTTTAATCTTGAACATATTTATAATAGCTGCTCTGAAGTTCTTGTCTGCTAATTCCAGCATCCATATCACCTCTTAGCCTGTTTCTCTGAACATTTTGCTCCTGGTTATAGATCACATTTTTCTGCGTTTTTCCTTGTCTAGTAACTTTTTATTGTGTACTGGACATTGTAAATGCTGCATTGTTGAGAGTCTGAAATTTTCTGTCTTCCCTTAAAGAGTATTGGGTTTTATTCTGGCAAGCAGTTCATTTGCTGGCAGATTAGCTCTCTCCTGTTGAGGCTTGTTTCTGGAATCTGTAAGGGTGGTTCTAAAGCAGCCCTTATTAAAGGGCTAGAGTCTTGAGGCTTAGCCCTTCTGGGTTCTCAACTGAATGCTCCCGATGTTCAGTGAAATCTCTTCTCTAGCTCATTGAAATCCCCGTGTCTCAGCACTGGGAGAGCTCCAGAATCTCCTCTCAGTTCACAACTCCCCAGTAGCTGTTCTTTCTCAGGGTTTGTTTTTTTTTTTTTTTTTTAAGATTTTATTTTTTCCTTTTTCTCCCCAAAGCCTCCCAGCACATAGTTGTATATTCTTCGTTGTGGGTCGTTCTAGTTGTGGCATGTGGGGCACTGCCTCAGCATGGTTTGATGAGCAGTGCCATGTCCGCGCCCAGGATTTAAACCAACAAAACACTGGGCCGCCTGCAGCGGAGCGCACAAACTTAACCACTCGGCCACGGGGCCAGCCCCTCTTTCTCAGGCTTTTGGAGCTTTTGCCTGCACCCATGCCAAGGGGGTCCCTTACACACATTTGTTGAGCTCCCTCTTCTCTGATACAAATTCCAGCCACCTCAGCTGTCCTGAACACCAGTCTCTGTTTGCTCTGCCCAACAAGCCTACTGCTTTCTGTTTGGGACCCACACTTTCCTGTGCCTTAGTTAGAAAGTGCTCCCAGCAAGAAATCTGGGGTAAATGTGGGTTTCGCCACCTTTGTTTCTTTTTTCTCAAGAATAACAGTCCTTTGCAGTAGCTCATTCAATGCCTATAAATAGTTATTTCGTATATTTTGTCCAGTTTTATAACTGTTTATGATAGGAGGGTAAATCCAATGCCAACTACTCTGTTAAGGCTGAATCTGGATGTTGGCCTTCCTCTGTATCTTGATTTTAAAATTTAAATTTGTATTGCTATAGATAATTGTACTCCATTTCCTACTATGTTCAATACATTAAAATTTCCTCTTGTCCTTTGTATATCTGTTTGCCGTCTGTGAATTATAAAACCAGGACAAATGCAGGCCCTGAAATAAAAAATTGGAAGAGAAAATACAGTTTGAAATAAAAGGTTATTGAATAGGAAATCTGTCTTCTAAGAGTAGTAGGCCAAATGCACAGTAGAAATAGACTTGAAAAGAATTTGGGGAAGATCTCGCAAATGTAATAATTTAGAGTTATTTGCATTAAAGAAGAAGATTTCTCAGAGAAGATATAGAAAAAGATTTTTTAAATGTTATAGAGATAAAATGGATTTTCACAAATATTGTAGACTTTTTTCAACTTCCAAATAGTAAAAAGCAAAAGAAAAAACATTCTGCTTTTTAAACTTCACTTTCACACAAATAATATACGTGCTTGGTGGAAAAGAAAGGGTAAAGGGAAAAAAAAATAAAAATGACTAGATCCTTTGTTATTTACCGTTTTTATAAATGGCAGTAGCATAAAGAACCCCGTATTTTCCCAAATGTTGCAGAACTTCAAAGGGGCAGGATGTTGTAGGAGAAAGACCTCTTGGATCTGGGGCCAGCTCTGTTGCTTGTTGACTAGGCAAGTCGTTCTGGTCCTCCTTGCTGCCATCTCTTTCTCTGCTCACAGGCTATCTGCTTCCCAAAACTGCTGTGACTAGCAGACCTGGCAAGGACTACCGAACAAACCTGCAGGCAGTCCAGAGATGCACCCTACGATTCTGAGATTCATGACAGTTTTTTTGCAAGCTGGCATTGCTTTTAGAACAATGAGTTTGATCCTCCTTCCTGAAGCAGAGTTCCAGTTTTGTAGCTCTCCTGCTCTAAGCTGCTGACTGGGCTCCAGCCCGCCCTTGCTGGTCAAGCCCTGACCTGGGTAGAGCCGCAGAGTTAAGGGCACGAGTCCCTCTGGGACTCTCAAGTCCTAGACTTGAAATTTAAGAAGCCGCAATGCCACAGCTGTGTATTTTTTTACTTCTTTGTTTTTCCTCCTGTTTTTCACTCCATTGAAATGCCTCCTGCCTTGAGCCTTCCTTCTAGGAAGGCTTCCCCTGTCACCAGTGCCACCACCTCCGTGAGAAGGCCTCTTCCAGTCCCCTGATCAAACATACTCTCTCTCCTCTGTATCCACAGAGCAGCACAGGCACGTCGTGTGCAGGTACACTTTACCTGCCCTTTATTTACATTCCCGTGACATCCCTCTTAACCTTGGTCAACTATGAGCTTTTTGAAAGCAATACCCTCTTTTATTTGTCTTAATATTCTTTGCTATGCCAAACAGTATCTTGGCACATTATGGACATTCAGAAATATTTATTCTCAGTACTAATTCTCTTAGTTACAGTATGAAGTAATTTTTTTTTTAAGATTTTATTTTTCCTTTTTTCCCAAATCTCCCCAGTACATGGTTGTGTATTTTTAGTTGTGGGTCCTTCCAGTTGTGGCATGTGGGATGCCACCTCAGCATAGCCTGAGGAGTGGTGCCATGGCCGCACCCAGGATTCGAACTGGCAAAACCCTGGGCCGCCGAAGCAGAGCATGCAAACTTAACCACTCAGCCACGGGGCCGGCCCCTGAGATAATTCTTTTTAATGTATCCTAAACTTGTCTTTTTCAAATGGCAAAGACTTTTCCCTCCTAGCAGTTGTTAATTCAGGAACAAATCCATTCTGCACTGTCCACAAGCTTTGTGATTTTGTAGGCCTCCACTGTATTCCTTCTTAGCTGTCTGTATTTTAGAGCAAATGTTGGAGCATTCAGGGGGAATCGTGGTGTGTGTTCCTTGAAATAATAGATGTGATGGTTAACTCCCTCCTCTTCTCCATGCAGAGAGATGTTCTTTACTACCATGGAAAGCCACCTTCTGCGCTGCAAAGTGTTGGAAATCATATTCCTCCACAGCTGCGAGACCCCCACCCGCCTGCCCTTGTCTCTGGCCCAGGCCCTCTATTTTCTGAACAATTCTACATCACTGCTCAAGTGTCAGGTACGTTTTCCCTGCTTCAGTTATAGGCCTACAAAACCTTTCCCCTAATGCTTGAGCATTATGTAAAAGTGACTTGAAAACTTCACAAAACCTTTAACTGAAGAAGGCATTTATTACCATTTGCTTTTACTATCTCCACAGTCAGATAAAACCCAGTGGCAGACATGGGATGAGCTGGTTGAGCATCTGCAGTTTCTGTTATCTAGTTATCAACATGTTTTAAGAGGTAAGGAGCCTTTGTTCACAAATAAGATGGCATGGGAGGCTCACAATGGACATTATTATGAATTGAAGTTACCTAGGGGATTCTAATTTGTTAGCTTATGTAAAGCATTGTTCCGTGGTTGTAGCCATAAGGAACAAGGAATGATATAGCTGGAATCACTGCTATGAAACAGAAGAATTCACATGTTTCTGTTATGGTGCATAATACAGTGGTCCTCACAGTTAATTATTAGTTGCGTGGGTAAGCAAAAGTCATCATAACATGAGAAGTATTCAGTAATGACCTGATTAGCCCCGCATCTTTTCCTGGCCCATCACTGCCACGTCTTTCTTGAGTCGAATGCTCACTGACTACAGACTTCGTAAACATCCATCAATATGATACAAATACAGAGCAAATCAGTGGTAAAGTGCAAGTGTACTGGGGCCAGTCTCATGGCTGAGTGGTTGAGTTCGCGCGCTCTGCTTTGGCAGCCCAGGGTTTCACAGGTTGGGATCCTGGGCGGGGCCCTGGCACCCCTCATCAGGCCATGCTGAGGCGGCGTCCCGCATGCCACAACTAGAATGACCTATAAGTAGAATAGACAACTAAGTACTGGGGGACTTTGGGGAGAAAGAGGAAGGGGGAAAAAAGAAGACTGGCAACAGATGTTAACTCATGTGCCAATCTTTAAAAAAAGATCTTGCAGAAGATGTGAGACGCCCTCAAGTCTGTGAAAGTGGCTCTCAAGTCACAGGCAAAGCCGGTGACCCAGGGGAGTCTGCGAGAGGCAGACTAACGCTCAGGAGGCAGATGTTGACAAGGGTAATGATGGAATAGCTGCTTCAGATGAGAAGGATTTTATTAGCCAAGGATTAATGAAGCCCTGGGGAAGACTGACAGAGTTATCAATTACAAAGGGAAAAATAGTAACTTAAGAGGGGAGGAAACTGGCATTCCTCTTGATGTGACGCTCTGAGAAGGACACCTCATCACTTTTTGGTTTTTGTTTTTTGCCAAAAATTCAAAACCTGAATCTAATCACAAGGAAACATCAGACAAACCCAGATTTAGGGACCTTTTACAAAATAACTGGGGGCTGGCCTGGTGGCGCAGCAGTTAAGTTCGCACGTTCCACTTCAGCGGCCCAGGGTTCGCTGGTTCAGATCCCAGGTGCGGACATGGCACTGCTTGGCATGCCATGTTTTGGTAGGCATCCCACATATAAAGTAGAGGAACATGGGCACGGGTGTTAGCTCAGGGCCAGGCTTCCTCAGCAAAAAGAGGAGGATTGGCAGCAGATGTTAGCTCAGGGCTAATCTTCCTCAAAAAAAAAAATAACTGGCCTGTACTCTTCAAAAGTGCCAATGTCTTAAAAACAAAGACAGACTAAGGAACTGTTCCAGATTAAAAAGAAACTAAAGCACATAAATACTAAATGCAAAACATGGTCCTGGATTGGATTCTGAACCACGAAAAAAGAAGCTATGTAGTACGTTACTGGGACAATTAGTGAAATTTAAATAGTAATAGTATTGTATTAGTATTAAATTTCGTATTTTTGATAATTATCCTGGCTTCTGAAAGTAAATGTCTTGGGAAATCCATGCTTAAAGTATTGAGGGGTAGAGGGGCACAATGTTCGCAACTTATTCTCAAACAGTACGGGGGAAAGTATTTACATAAAATCTACCTGCCGTGATCGTGTAGCTCAGTAATGGCACTTGGGAAGGTAAGATAGCCTGTCCACCCTCTTGGGCTGGAACTGGGGGGACATTAAAAAAAAGCACTAGATTTAAGACGGAAGGTCCAAGTTTAAATCTCAGCTCCACCATTTACTCTGTGTTGGGCAGCAGACTTTATGTGTCTACACCTCAGTTTCTCCCTTCTCCACCCTCAGTCTCTCCCTAACGAGTGTGAGAAGAAATTAAGTGCTCACTCAATGTTGCTTGAATCTCAGTCTTCCTGTTTGCCTAGCCAGAAGTAGGCTGCAATAGTCTTCTCTATATTTCAGACTCTTGTAACCAAAACTTAAAAAGAGTACATTGTCATAGCTACGATATGTGGTTGTATAGTTTGCGCATTTTTCAACACCATCAAAAAAAAGATACATGTCCTTCTTAGAACAAAGCTGCAAAAGCACATTCCACATGTCCTTGGCCTCACTGAGGTTTATATAATTGTTTCTTTCAGAGATCTAGCAGAAAGTTTAATATTAAAGCAGCTTATTTTTTTTTAAGTTCATCTTTAACACTTTTTGATAATTTCTGTTTTGCTTCCCAGGAAATATACCTGGGTCATGGGCAGTAGTTACTTAAGATGGACATGGGAGCCACTCTTATTACAGAATATTTTTATGCTTCGAATAAGGGAGAGGGAGGCCTCAGACCACTGTACGTATATCAACCAAGAATAAATGGGGTGTGTCCCAGTGCTCCAGCTTCTTTGGAGACCAAGAGTTAAGAAGGAGAAAAAAATATTTAGAACCAGTAGTTAGAAAGCAGGGTTCTATGAGGAACACAGCTGAATGGTACCCTGAAATGGCCAGTGTCCTTCTCAGTAGGCATTTCACTGTGAGGACTCTTCAGTCATCTCTGCCCTCTTCAAGTGGGCTGAGGACGTTGTTGAGGGCATTTTGAGGTTAGCCTGAGTTGTCCAACTCCACAGGTGGGGGAAGAAGGGAAGAGGTTGGGGAGGCCAGGCTTGCCGTTTGCTTAAGGGGAACCTCTTAGCATGGAGCAAGAGAGGAAGGAAGACTAGGTAAGTTCACATGCACTGGCTTATGTAATCCAATAACCTTGTAAAGGTGAGTATCATCCCCTTTTACAGATGGGAAGACAAAGACTGAGAGAAAAGTAAATGCAGAGCCAGGATTCAAACTTAGGTCTGTCGCCAAAGTCTGTGTGCAATGAAAACACTCTGGAAGGAATTACTTTTCTATGAAATCATTGGGTGAGATTAGAAGGTGAGATTCTAAGGAATTTCCAACCCTTCATTTTCTAAACTCTCTATACATGGTTAAATTATGTTTATATAGACCCCTTGACCTTGGGGAGAAGTATATCCTGAATCCCTACATTTTGCAAATGTTTCCATAGAGGGCAGAGCAGCCCCACTGAGACGTGGATGCTGAGCTTACATTCTCTGGCTGAGAGAATCAACCTTCCACAACCCAGTTTCATAGCCATGCAACTCAAGTTTGAGCCTCAGAAAAATTACAAATTGTCATATGCCATGAGTTTTCCTGATGCTTGTGAATAGTTAGAACCTCTTATTTTGAAATTATGAATTCTAGGAATTTAAGCACATAATATTTAAATGAACAAAATGCATGCTTTTCCTGAATGAACCTCTGTTGGACAGCTTAGGTAAGCCAGCCTGTGGAAGTCAGGCAACAGTTCATTCTGAGGAGAGTCACACACACAGCCTTCCTGCAAGGAGCACTGTCCGCAGAGGGGCGAAAAGCAGACGCAGGCTGTCAGTTCAACTCATGTCTTCATCCAGTCAACAAATACTGACTGACTGCCTTCCCTGAGCCTGGCTCATTAGGAAAACTTCAGTGAAGAAAACCAACATGGCCCCTGCCCTCAGAGAGCTTACGGTCTAGTGAAGAGATCAACCCTAAACAAATAATCACACAAGTAACGTGGTTACAGTTAAAATAAATGCTGTGAAGGAAAGTACAGGTGCATAAAATAGGAGGACCTAATCCATTTTTGGAGGGAGCTGTGGAAAGGCCTCCCTGAACAGATGATACTTCAGCTAAAAAAATGAGGTGCTGGTGTTAGCCAGGCAAATAGGGAGGGCAAAGTATTCCAGAAAGAAGAAACAGCATGTCCAAGGGCCTTGAGGCAAGAAATTGCTTAGTGAGTCCAAGGAACAAAGAACAAACTAGTAGGACTGGGATGTAATGAGCAAGGGAGACGAGACCAGATGAGACCAGATAGCAGATAGGGTAGGGCATGAAGGGCCTTCTGGGCCATGTTAAGGAATTTCAACTTGATTCCAAGGGAAGGGAAGCCATCAAAGTGGTTTTAAGTAAGATCACTCTCCCTGATGTGTGGTGACTAGTTTGGCAGAGGACCAGAGAGATCGGGAGGGTTAATGGTGATGAGTGAGGCAGTGGATGGATCAGAGCACTTTGAAGATCAGTTTGCCAGGGCTTGGGTGACTGGGTCTGAAAGATGACTCCAGGGTTTTGCCATTACTGACATGGAAATAAATGGAGAAAAAGATCTGCAGTGAAGTTAAGAAGCTCACTCTGACTGTTAGATTGGAGATTCCTGTAGTGATGATGATGATGAAATAACAATAGCTAACCCTAGGATTGGTCCAGGCACTAATAATAATACTGTCAGCCAGATATCTTGAGCCAGGCATTGTGCTGAAACCCTCACATAAATTGCCTCACACAGTAACCGTGATAAGAACTCTCATCCCTACTGAAGCATAACATCCACGGCCTTGCCAACGGGACTGGAATGGCTGAAGTCCACAGGCCCAGATCCCTCCCCTTGGACAGTGCCTAGATGGGCACTGCTAACATTTGCTTCTCTGGATTCCCTGTGTTATTTTAATAAACTCCACATTCTTCTTGCTCCCACCCCATGTCCTCTCTATCCCTCTCTATTCAGCCAATTCTTTCCATTTTTTCAAAATCATTTTTATATTTTTCTGAGTAGCACATGCCTTGTTTAAGAAAACCTAATTCTAGTGAAGGCTTTTGTCCCCCTAAGACCATTCTCCACTAGTAGCAGAATGAAATAGAGCACATTTCTCTGCTTAAAACCCTCCAGATACTTCCCTTTGCTCTCAAATGCCAAAATCCGTGTTGTTCTGTGGCCTGGCCTACCTTCCAGAACTAGTACTGCTCTCCCTCTTACTACCAGATTTTACCTCTAGTTCTCAGAACAAGCTTTTTCCTGCCTTGGGACATTTGCACTTGCTGTTCTCTCTCCCCCAACTGCTTTTCCCCTGGACCTTCTCATCCTGCAGGCCTCAGCTAAGATGCCCTCCCTGACTAGAGTGGGCTGCTTCCCTCATTCCCCCAGTCTTACTCTTTATCACGGCATCCAGTTGAGGTCTTTGATTGCACTCACCAAAACTGTAATTGTTTTTCTTGGCTTGGTTACTGTCAGACTTCCTGCAACTAGAATGTCAGTTGGTGAGGGCTGGGCCCAAGTCTCTGATCCCACTGTATCCGCAGAGTGTAGCCCCGTCAGATACACAGTAGGTGCTCACTGTAAATTTTCGTTGATTGAATGTTGAAAGGGACCTGCAATGACATCTCCAGGCAGCTTTGCTTCCTGTGTTTCTAGACTTTTTGGATACTCTGTAGTATGTTTATACTATTTTCAGATTACAGATAGGCCCATTGCTATAAATTTAGAAGAACGTTACCTGTAAAGATACCTGAAGGTTGAGGAAAAACATATTGAGCGTGTTATTTGAAAACGTAACCTAATGTACTGCTTACAGATGTTTATTCTGTTTCCCAACTATCTGGAAACCATGTAGCTCAATGCTTCTCATAACCCTGTTTTGAGGGTGCCACTGTCCCCACTTTCTAAATGAGGAGGTTGAGACAGTGATGCGGTAGCTGCTCTGGTGCATCTGGGGGCCCTCAGGTTCAGAGTTCTCCTCAGCCCGTTCGCCTCATACGTGACCTCGTGCTCCTTTGCCTCAATCCCACACACTTCCAGAACCCTGTTGGGGCTGATCTGGGGATTTGGGAGGAGAAACCTCCTCAACTTCTTTTTCTTTTCCCCATTATTTTTATTTTTGGACCTACAGAAAAGTTTAAAGACTAGTACAGTGAATACCCATATGCCCTTTACCTTGATTCACCAGCTGTTAACACTTGCCACATTTGGTTTAATTATTCATTGATCTATACTTTTCTTCTTTTTTTTGCTGAACCAGTTAAGAGTAAGTTGTGCCGTCATAATTCTCATGCTTAAATACTTCAGCCTAGGAATAAGTGTATTCTCCTACATATATTCATTATCACACTCAGCAAACTTATCCTTGATAGAATATTATCTAACATGTCCCAATAATATCCTTTATACATGGCTGGATTTGAGCCAGGATCCAGTCAAACATGATACATTGTACTTGCTTGTTATGCTTTTTGTTCTTCTTTAATCTAACACAGATCCCAGCCTTTACTTGTCTTTCATAATACAGACATTTTTGAAGAGTCCAAGCCAGTTATTTTGTAGAATGTCCCATAATTGGGGCTATTTTCTGATGATCAGATTTCATCTTAAATACTATTGACAAGAACACTGAGTAGATGAAGATGTACACCCCTTCCCAGTGCATGACATCAAGAGGCAGTCAAGTCAGTTTGGTCCCACTATGGGTAACGTTAAGTTTGATCATTTGGTTAATGCAGTGTCTATAAGATTTCTGTTGTTCTCTTTGATATTAGTAAGTACAGATCTTCCTCAACTTACAATGGACTACGTCCCAATAAGCCCATCATAAGCTGAAAATGCATTTAGTCCACATAACCTACCAAACATCATAGCTTAGCCTACCCTACCTTAAATGTGCTCAGAACACTTAGATTAGCCTGCAGTTGGGCAAAATCATCTAACACAAACCCTATTTTATTATAAAGTATTGAATATCTCATGTAATTTACTGAATAGTGTATTGAAAGTGAAACACAGAATGGTTCTCTGGGTACAGAATGGCTGTAAGTGTATCAGTTGTTTACCCTCGTGATCATGGGGCTGTCTGGGAGCTGCAGCTCGCTGCTGCTGCCCAGCATCAGGAGAGAAGATGGTACGGCTAGCCTAGGCAAAAATCAGAATTCAGAAGTCAAAGTATGGTTTCTATTGAATGCATGTCATTTTCACACCATCGTAACATGGAAAATCATAAATTGAACCATTGTTAAGTCAGGGAGCATCTGTAATCGAGGGTAAAACTGAGACTGTAAAGCTTTCAGCCTTTCACTCAGTGGTTTGAAGCATCCATTGACAGTTCTTACCTGAATCGATTATTACATGACTAAGTTGAAAAGTGCCTACTTTCTAGTTATGCATTCCTCTTACTTTTCTTAACTGGCCTTCTTCGGGAAAAAGGACCTTTCCCTTCTCCCTCCCCTCCTTTTTCTTTTGTTTTTCTTTTTTACTATGGACTCAGATCTTTTTAAAATTGTCTTATAATCCATTTTTGTCATTTTTTAATGATCACATTGTCCAAAATGTGGCCAAGAGGAGCCCCCTTCAAGCTGACTTCTTTGTCCTTTTGACATGTCCCCATCCGTTTTTAAGCATTCACTTACTTTCTTGTAAAAGGTGTTCTAGGTTCACCTTGTAATTTCCTTGCCAAGGTTCTAGGATTAGCCTTTTCTCAAAAAAAAATTGGGTTTTTTTAGTGAGGAATGGTATCTAGAAACCAAGATCTGGATGTTAAGTATACTGATTGCTACAGAGATGTCTGCTTCCAGGCCCATTCTGACAACAGAGCTAGTAAACTATATAATTTTTTTTAAATACAAGCTCATACAGATACCTCAATTTCCACTCCCACAGAATTCTTCCTCTCCTCCTGTTCCACAACTGAATCTTTTCGCAAAGTGAGAACTCTCGTTCTGAACATGAATGTATGTATTCATTTGATCTATCCTACAATACATACAAAATGTTTTTTTAAACCAAATTACTGAAATAAACCAATGGCACAGCAAACTTACTAAGTTCAGTATTTCTTTGCAATTTTTTTCCTACTTAGGATAAATCTCCCTGAAGATAGTCAAAATTCACATGAATATTTTTCAAGTGGTTATATTAATTTTAAATATAATTTCATTGTTTAATATGGGTTCATTTTTTAAATCAACAAAGGGAAAAAAAACCAGAATATAAATTTTCTTTTTTAATATGTAAAACTTGAAGAGCAGAGAGAACCAAGAACAAAGGACCTCTTGGGAAGGAGTTACCACAGGTCCTCATGTGGCCTTTGACTTGAATCCCAGTAACTAGTCCGCAAGTCTCTGCCCAGACAGACCCCACCTCCTAAAATCAGACTTCATCTCTTTAAGTCGTAAATGAAGAAAAAGGATTTCAGAACACTTCAACTAACTTTTTCTCTTGCAGAGCACTTACGGAGTTCAGTGATTGATCGCAAAGATTTAATAATCAAAAGGATTAAGCCCAAGCCCCAGCAAGGAGACGATATCACGGTGGTGGATGTGGAGAAGCAGATCGAGGCCTTCCGCAGCCGCCTCGTCCACATGCTGGGGGAGCCGCTGGTGCCCCAGCTCCAGGACAAAGTGCACTTGCTGAAGCTCCTGCTCTTCTATGCTGCGGACCTGAACCCTGATGCAGAGCCTTCTCCCAAGAACTGGAGCAGCCCCTGAAGTCCTTCGAAGCACTGAACACCAAGAATACCTCCTGAACTCTATCTCCAACTACTTGGAAGTTGTAAAAGTACGAAAAGTAGTTAAAAATCTTGTAGGACCAAACCTATCTTATTTATCTGTAGGTTATGATAACTTTCTAACTCTTTAGTAGATAACCTTTTTTTTGATAATCCTCACCTAGCCTATTCTCAAATATGGCTTAATATACAAGGTGTATATATTTTTTAATAAATTATTTATCTATCCTTTTTTTGAAAAGGTAATACTATATGCACTATATTTAACAGTTCCACTCAAGATGTGAAAAAGAATCCCTCTGTGAACAAATCCTAGACATCAATGTCATGTCATTCACGGTACTGACAACCTGTTTTGAACGAGAAAGACATATCCGTTTCTCCCTAATGGAACACAAACATCCTATATTAGATCTCTTACATTGCGTATGAATTTGACTTTGTGGCCAGTCTATTAAGATCTAATGTAATGAGGGGGGTTAGCAACACAAGGATTGAGTGTGTTACAAAAAATTTGATGTTAAAAGGATACAATAAAAAAGCAATGGTTTTTCAAAATACCAAGTTTACCATGCTTAAGTTCCATGATTTTGAGTGGGCAGAATGGAATAACTACTCCAAACAGGACCAAAAAAACAGCTATCCACATTTGAGAAAGTAGTAAGGATTTTTATTGTCAAAACAAGTAAGAGATACAAGCATAAGAGAAGACAAATAAATAAACTGTTCTGCTCATTTTAGACTCCAGGTCCTCTCTGTGGAAAGGTTAGCTTAGCTCCTTACATCGACATGATACTGTCCAAAGCAGACAATGGCAGGAATTTGAGAGTGTTCAAGATGATGACTGAACACGTACACCGTGAGGAGAAATGAAAAGGTGGTTTCCCAAGTTCATTTCCTCAGTAAAGTATATTTATAAAGGTAGGAGGCTCATTTTAGGGAAAACTGATTGCATACAGAAAATTTTTTAATTCTTCAACCTCCCAGAAAAAAGTTTCAGGCCCTGGCCTGAACAAGGAAATCAAAATAGGACGACATCAGTTTCACATCGACCTCAAGGCTATAATCTAACTGTAGTTACCACCTTCTTTACTTTAAAAAAGTTTAACATCCATTTATCTATACCAAACCAGTAGACTGAATTTTCTTCTGTAGGAAGTTTTCAACCAAATTGGAGTTAAAGTGCAACACAAGATATGCAAGACTACTGTTTGTTCTGTGACCCATAAAAGAGAAGCATCCCTCCAACAGCATGGCCCGAGGGGACCACAGTCGGAACTGGCCACAGGACGAGCGGTCCAGCAGGTCTGCCAAGAAGCACGGAGCCTCCAGCTTCAGTGCAGGAGGGGCCCCTGCCAGGTCTGGCTTTTAACTACCCAGATCTCAAACAGATCTTAGGTCCTCCTCACTGACAAGGCTAGAGCACCCAATACCAGCACAGTGAAGAGGGCCAAAGTTGTCTAAACTAGTCAGTGAACACCTCTACTCCATGACTAGTCCATGCGCGTGTTGACAATAGTAAAGGAATCAAGAAGCCTCAGTTTGGGAACAACACAAACATTATTACCTAGTAAGCAATGATCAAAGTTCTTATCTAGGGTAAATGATACAAAAATAGGTAATGAGGTCCCCCATACATCACTGCTGAGATTATTTAGTCTAACCTTAAATTAAAGCAATACAAAATGGCTTCTTCCACACAAGGACAAGCTTTGCACTGATGTTTCTCAAAAACCAATTATGTCTCCAGCTCTAGCCTCAGTTTAAGAGGTTTCAAAAAAAAAATGTTTCCTATGTCAGAGCCAAGGTGAAAGGGGAGCTGACACAAGACACCCTCTATCCAGAGTCCCTGGAATAGAAATAGCTCTAGAAGCCAGTGGGTGTGAGCACATTCAAGTCACGGGGTTTGAGATTATGGGTCCGTGGTGGTTGTTTCTTCCCTTCTATCACTGGGATGTCCATCTTGGGTGGCTTGAAAGTTGCTGGATCTTCGGCCATTCGGGTGGCCTGCGCACGGATCAGGTCCATTGGAGAAGGTTTCTGGGCTCCTCTGTAGGTCTGGGTGGCGAAACCTCCTACAGAAGTAAACCGCAGAGGAAATGATCTCAGAATTACTAGGCAGTTCCCAATACATGTGGTAAAATGCCTGCCACACTGCTTGAGTTTTGAAGGAGCTTCCTTACCCGAATCAGACTTCTGGAGGGATCTTGGTCCAAAGAAGCTCCATTTGTCTGCCATGTTTCTGTCTTTATCCCCACTTCCAGAATCCATGGTGCTAAGATTTGGGCCAGGTAACGCTGTGGAAGAACCAGAAGCGAACCAGCCTCTGGAAGAGAAAGGATGCAACATATCCTAATAATATCCTCTGCCTACACCTCTAGAAGTGTCTCACGCCAAGCCTAGGAACTGTCAACTCCCCCTTCTCGCTCTGAGATCACAGGCTTAAACCCCAACTCTGCAGGAGCACTGGCCTTCCTTGAGCTCACTGCTGCTCAGGGGAGCGCAGGAGGGGCTCACCTGCTCTTCTGCTTAGGGGAAGAGTGGGGGGTGCTGCCTGGGGTGGATTGGGCTGAAGCCGGCTGCTTCTCTTCTCTTGTTATCTCTCCACTCTGTAGCTTTAGTTTCTGTTCAAATGGATAAGAAGAAAGACTTTTTAAAAATTGGAGCAAATACAAAACAACAATAAAACAGCTAACTTTGGGTATAAACAACCTGGTTCACACAACAGGCAAAAGGAAAACATTAATAGGTGGAATAATTTTGAATTACAGAACAGACATTCCTTTGATTCTACCATATTAGATAGAATTCCATCTTTTAGGAAAATGTATTTATTCGACAGCATATCTGAAACACCTCTGTACTAAATATACCACACTAGAGCTTTTAATTTTCCCACATTCGCCCAGCCGGTCAGCAGCGGGGCCGGAACTCAAGCTGCAGGCCTTCTGGGCCTTTGGAGTAGGGCCTTGAACTCCTCTCTCTGCCTCTCCTATCACATACAACCCCTGCCATTCCCAGTCTCTCCAAGCCAACGCTCAGGCCTGCTGTCACTCTCAGGCTGAAGGTTTCCTCCGTGGGGCTTGTCCCATTCTCTCCCCTTCCCCTCCCCTAACCAGTCACTCCGGGTTCCCTCGGCATTGTAAACGCACCTCTAACATACAGACTAGCAATCCAGCAGGGGAGAGACACATCTGCTTCTCAGTTCCTAGATCAAGGCTCCCATACTGTCTCTCTGCTCCCCGTCCGGGATGCCAATGCTTAGCCCAAGCTACATTCCAAACAAATGACCATGTCTGAATTTTCTCAAACACTCAACATATCAACTTGTGAAAGCTGGCATTTCAGTCATCCTCATGTTCTACTCTTGTGGCCAAGATGCAGAAAATGGGCCAAAGTCAATTCTACCATTACATAGGGTGAATTGCTCAACTGGAATTCTGGCTGACATCTATCCTGGAAACTTCTCAGTGTCAAAGACTGACAGTGACCCCCTCCAAAAGCATCTGTCTTGTCCGAGAGCTTGAACAGGCCACTAACCCAACCCTGATCCTCCAAAGCAGTGGTTTTGAAATCAGTGTGCAAAAGTCATCTGAGATGCTCATTACAAAATGCAACCGTCCACAGTGTCTTACATCGCTCCCCACAGGCCACCAGATCCACATTAGTCCTCCTTCTATATATTGCATATCATGATCCTCATGAGGCCCTTCAGGAGACAGTCTCAGACAACTTTGGAATATGGGGGAGAAAACCAACAGGAAGCAGGGCATCAGGAGACAAGTTCAGATACTGTGACTGGTTAAATATATGACCTTAGACCTCAGTCTCTTCACTTATAAGACATGGCGAATAGCATCTACCTCAAAGGATTAACACAAAGATTAAGTGAATGCGAGTGCTTCATAAATCATAAAGCACTATGAAATAGAAAAGGGTATTCCCTGAAAGTCATTTAAAACTATTTTATTCATACAACTATTTGATCATTAACCCTACCAAAAATTATTCTTCAGTCACTCCAATTTTAGAAATGAAAGAGCAAAAATACTCCAATTCTATATTTGCTTTTTATTTTTTAAAAATTAAATATCGAGCCGGCCATTCCTTTCCAATTAAAGTGTTACCTCTGCCGAGCTTGCCCAATTCTCTGTGCGAGTCAATTGCTCTGGTACACAAAGTGACTGGCACTGGCTTTACTGTTCACACTGTGCCCACACACATCCCATGCAATCTCATCTGAGCCTCCTAAGCAGAAAGAAGCAAAACACATCCTCCCACTTTACAGCAGGAGAAGCAGAAATGACGACACGAAGAGCTCCGGAGCTTTCAGTGACAAAGCTCCACCATGGGTATGACCAAACCAGTTCTAAATTCCTCACCCAATTCTCTTTCCACCACTCTCCACAAGGCCCGGCTAGCTGAGCGGGTAACTTCTAAACCACAGCCACATCTCAAGCTATGAATGATGAGGGTTTTGGTTTTTTAAATTCCTAAGAAACAAGCTTACGTGGAGCGCTTCTGCCACTCGAAGGTACTTGATCTCCTCGGTGGTCAGGCCCTTGTGGGGTGTGTAGCCAGCATCTGTCAGCCCTGCCTGTTGCTCAAAACGCTGAATGCTCTCCTGGGTCTGTTCTGGGAACAGAGGAGATGACAGTCATGCCCATCCCCTCTCCCACACAAACTGGGGGAGATCAACTTCTGTTCTCCCCAGAAGCAAGAGACCACAATGACCATCCGAGGAGGAGGGTTCTCCCAGACGCGCATCAGAGCAGTAATTCTGAACCTCACACAAAGTTCTTCTAATCGGAAGGGAGCCTTCCCTCACACCAAGCTGAAGAATGGTTACTCCTAAAGGGACAGCTGGATAACCTCCAGGGAAACACTCCTTACCTTCCTCTTATTTCTACACTGACATTTTCTTTGTATTTAAAAATGTAACATGGAGAAGGCAGCTGACATTCAGAAACACTGCAAGTTCTCCAAAGATAAAGTTTCCTCAGAGAGACTCACCACCCTCATTACCCACGCAAAGACTTTCACCAAAGAGCCACATTTGGGCTAGATGGCACCGAGGTACCAATTAAATCAAACCAGAGAATGTGCCTTGAACTAGCCAAGGTCTACTGATCCAATGTTTCTCGTGTGGGAAACTGCTCATCCCAGTGCCTGGCACAGCAAACGCATTCACCTCAGTGTCACATCACTCTGACTTGATTATCTGAATTTTTCCTTGATCTGCACACATAGGACATTATATCCCCAGTACAGGCAAGTGGCAGCTGTGGACCCAAAGTCTAGACACCAGATGTCCTTTAGGACAGTCATTCCCCTTCTAATGAATTTTTTATTTCCATCAGAAATAAAGGCAAAGAAAAAAGTCAAATGCATATGGATGTTTTCCAGTCTTACCAGGTAGTTATGTGAAAATTTAAAAAGTGGGAAAGGATTTAATGAATTACAGTACACCAATACCAGGATTTTAAATGCAGCCATTTTTTTAGAATTTAAGACTATAGCAACATCAAAAGTTCATGGCAGTATTACCTGAAAAAAAATAGAATGGTTTGTTTACTATATCTGCAATTATACAAAAACATGCATATATGTGGAAGTGACTAAGTCAAATAAGTGTCTGAGTGACGGTAGTATTTTGGGGTGTTAGAACGTTCTGTACTGTCGATGACCTGTATTTTCAATAAAGAAATTATACTGTGCTACAAGAACGATGACTACGCTTTCTAACACTGCCAGACATATTCTCAAGCTTGAAAAATACTAGTAGTAGTTGCTGATTCGAATGGTGCATTTATGTGTGAATAAGCAAAAGACCAAGTAAGAGTCTGCACTTCTCGTTCTCGGGTGCCTTGTCCAGGAATTGCCCAAGACAAACTGATGCCCTCCCAGAGCAGATAAACAAGGGCGTCCGACTGCAAAACTGAGCCAACCACGGACACCTTCTATGTGCCCTGCCCCTGGCAGAGGCTGCTGCTAACAAGCAGAGCTGAGTATCACATAATTGTTAACTTCCCACAGCAACTAGAAGAGCCCTCCAGAACCAACAAGGTTAACTTGTTATACTCCTCCCCTTGACCTGCCAGCCACACCCCTCATTTCATGAAGAGGGAAAGAGTCTCGACAGTGGCATAACTTGCCCAAGGCCACACTGAGGGATATGGGAAAATAAGATGGTACCAACAAGCAGAGTGCGCCTAAATCACCGGAGATGCTAAAAGTGTGACAAATCTTCCACCTAAACGGAGCTTCGCCCTGGCGATTCAGCAGCCAGGCTGACATGTGCCAGGCCCGGTGGGGACATGCTAAGGCAGGCATGGGTACAGAACCCCCACAGGTGGACTGCAGGAAGCCTGAGCTCTTCCCCACCCTACCTCACGCCATCCTGAGGGTGCAGGGTGCTTACTTGTGATCAAAGAATTCATGATGACGCGTGTAGCTTTGGCCTTCACCACAGGGACCTTGTCCACACCGTCAGTGGCCGATGACAGGGCCACGGCAGGGGAGGAGACACTGGCCTCTCCTTCCTCCACCTGTTCGAGAGAGGTAAGGAGGCACTTGAGCAGGCAAGGGAGCCACACACCTAAACTTACTCCTTTAAGGAAGGAGTTGCTGAAATACCTTCAATCCGATACATGAGGAAATACGTGAGGGGGGGTTGGTTGTCCCACCTGATTAGATCTGTATCATCCGTAGTGACAACAGATAAACACATTATACGAATAGCTGGAATTTATAGATATGGGAAAGCCAGCATTTGAAGCTCTGAAGTCTACTACCTTCGCAGATTACATCTGTCCAACATACTACAGGACCGTGCCCCTAAGAATGCAGGAGAAACACCTCTTACTAAGCCCTGACCATGGACCAGGCCACGCGCTTGCTTCTGCTTAATCACTGCATTCGCTAAGTGGTTCTCAAACTTTGCCGAGCACCAGAACCCCCTGAAGGGCTTGTTAGACAGACCACTGGGCCCCACCCTAGAGCTGAGCCAGCAGGTCTGGGTCAGGCAGAGAATTCATGTTTCTAACAAATTCCCAGGTGTTGCTGATGCCACTGGTGCCCAAGACCACATTTTGAGGACCACTGTTCTCAAGGTTCAAGTAACGCTGTTTTAAAACAAACCAAAAAATCTATGTAGCTCCTAATCTTTAACGTGAGAGAGCCAAGAACATGCGACCTTCTTCAACCTAAACACCTGACACCATGCTCAGGCCCAGCAGGGAGAAGAGAACGGGGTCTATTCTTTGTTCTCTGCTTCTCCAAAGGCATTGAGAAGGAAGGTGGGCAGAAAGGAGGGGAGCAGAAGTACTGAAATGTTGTAGCCTGTTACAAAATAGGATTCACACTTTTCAGCTGTGACCTTACTCAAGCAAGACTGGAACCTGTTTCCTTCCTTGGGAGATGGTGGCGGTCAGGACAGGGATGGTTCGCTAGACACAGGAAGGAATGCGTGTAATGAGTCAGGCTGAGCTTTCCTTGAGAGCAGCTGTTCCAAACCGTCAGCTGTTCCAGCTGGGGCACACCAGAAGACTGGAGCCCATTCTTTGCCTTGTGAAGTAAGCAGCAGCCTTTCTAAATGAAAAGGGTGAGCGGCCCTTCGAAGCACTGCGGGAAGCCTGCTCACTCTCTCTCCAGTCCCTGAAGCCCGTGGCTCCGGGCCTGCAGCCCAGCTGCCGGGATCCTTTTCTCCTAGTACTGCCAGTACTTTACACAAAATGTTTCTCCTCAACAACTGATTGGGTCCGATTTCAGTAGATAATGGACACAGGGAACTCCCCCAGAGCTGTAGGGGACACTTCTGTAGAAAGGAGCTCCCTGTTCCGAGGGCTGAATGGGGAAGCGGGGTGGGGAGACTCCCTAGAAAGAAAGGCCACACACAGCTCTCCGAAGTGAGAGTGAAGCTGGGAGCCAGGAGTCCCAACATCAGCTACACACCTGATATGTCTCAAGCCTTTTCATCCTCTTTTATTTAATCCCCACAACACTCCACGGCATGAAGTAGTCTCAGCTCTCAGATGGAGACACTGTGGCCCTGGGGTGAAGCTGTGTGTCCAACGTCATTGCTAGTACATAGACCATTAGGGGATCCACACCCAGGTCTGTTTAAGCAGATCCTTCTGTTACCTACTGTCAGGCCCTGAGCTGTCACGCAGGTCAAAGTTCAGCGAAACTGTAGCTGCAGGTTAAAGGGCCTCATCTGAGCGGGCAGGCCTAGTTTCTAGTTTATTCAAGCACAGTGCCACCCTCCTTGCACTCCTGGTGGTGGCAGGCTCAGTCCCTGCAGTCAGGAAGCACAGGCTTCGGCAACACGCCTACAACAAGCACCTGAGAACCTAACTGCACAAAGGGATGTGAGGGCAGATGAGGGTGCCCCAAGGTGCACGCGCACGTCGGTCAGGAAGGGCCTTTGGAAGGAGGCGGCTCTCACAGGGCACGGCAGTGGGAAGAGGCATGGGAGGCAGGAGGGCCAGCACAGCATGTGTTCAGGAAGGAGCCGACGTCCCCCCCCAGTCACTTAATGAACATTCTTTGGAATCTGCTTTCTGCCAGGTCCTCTGCTAGATACTGCAGATAGAGTACAAAATTAGGTATGGCCCCTGCCCTCAAGAAGCTACTGGAAGGTGATAAAGTATGGCAGAGATTATGACAGGGGTCCATGTGACAGTGGAGAGCTCAGAGGGAGAGGTGATGGTCTTATGGGGAAAATCCTCACAGAAGAGAGCTAAGACTTAAAAGGATACCATTTGTCAGACAAATGGAGTAGGAGGAGCGGGTGGGAGAACAGGATGGGGACTGGAAACCTTCCAGGCAATCAGAGCAGTGTGAAGCATAAACACCCTGTGAAGTGCAAGACATCTCCAGTAACTTGCATGGTTGGATCACTGGGGGGGCCTGGGTAGCGGCAGTCAGGACCTGGACCACGCAGAGCGAGACTAAGGAGCTTGGATTAAATACAGTGGGAAAAGGGAGGGGTGAGGGTGGGGACAAAAGGCAGGAGAAGACACAGCCATTCTAGTTTGAATTAAAAAGAAAAAAAGACCGCCAACTCCAGCTGAGGCACAGAAAATATATACAGGGGTTGGCGGCTGCCCACTTCTTTGGGTGCTGGGAGCCACTGGAGGCTTCTGGAGCAGAGGAAGAATGAAGGGGTTGGGCTTGCCAGGACAGTCCACAGGGTCAGATACCTTGGCGAGGTCCTGATACTTGCGCTCTGGAATCACTGGCTTCCAGGGGATGCTGCCCATGTCCGATGGAGGAGGAGTCATGGGTGTAGGGTCCTCAAGGGCATCATCATAGCTGAATGCCCGGCGGTACATCCCGATGGGCAGGGACATCTTGCCTAGAGGCCCACTAGGCTCAAGAGCTAAGAACAGAGACACCTGTCAGGATGGGTCAGCAAGTGAACATAGTAATAGCTTTAAATTAATTCATAGGCAGTAAAGCTCTAAAACACTCACTCTGGGACAGAGCAAGAATAGCTTCTTCTGGAATAGCTAATCCATTTAAGAAAAGGTAATAGCACTAATTCCTTCCTTTATGCCTGACACTTCGGATTTTCTACTTAACCTACTCAGTAGCCCGAATCCAATTTACAAATTAGGAAACCAAAATTCAATTTAAATTTATCTGAGCAAGGTCATACAATGCAAAGTGCAGTTTGGAATCAAAGTAAACCTATCAGATTTCAAAGCTTGTATTTTTCATGCCACAGAAGCCACCCCCACAGAAACACCAAGGCTCTCAACTCACGCAAGACTGAGGATATGAAGTTCTTGTTCCCATTTTATAGATGAGGAAGTTACGGCCTAGAGGTCAAGTGATTTGCCCAGATTCATAGAGAAAGTAACCACCTGGGGCTCGACTGCCTTCCCGACCTCACCAAAGAGAACCAGAGCACTATGACAAGAAACATCAAAACAACAGTGTCCAGGTCAGCTCTAGAGTCTGAAGGATTTAGTCAGCAGAGCCAAGTTCCACCACAGAAACTGCTGACACCACTCTCATGAAACACTGCCAGCCGACCTGGCCATTCCTGTCCCCTGGAACTGGCTGGGGGAGTGCCCCGTGGTGACGCAGGTATCCACTTCAAGGGCACGCTGCGCTCTGCCAGACCAGAGAGCAAAGGCCATGCTGTTTGTTTGCGAATCCTTTCTCAGCAGAACGAACGTTCAGATCCTGACTTCAGCGTGATGCTTTCCCGTTGCTAAAATTATACAGTCACACTCTCCAAGACATCAACTTCCATGGCAATAAGTCCAAAACCAGCAAAGACACTTCATTTAAACAGCAAGGGGACCAAGCAGCTACCATTATTATTAATATTAACAACAACTACTAACAAATCCATAGAAACAGAGATTAGTGGTTGCCAGGGACTGGGGAGGGGGGGATAAGGAGTGACCACTAATGGGGACAAGGTTTTCTTTTTGGGGTGATGAAAATGTTCTGGGATTAGACAGTGGTGATGGTTTCATAACCTTGTGAATATACTAAAAACCTCTAAACTGTTCACTTTAAGTGGGTGAATTTCATAGTATGTGAATTATCTCAAAGAAGGCAAACACAAACACACAGGCAAATAATAATTACCAAGTACCCTTCCTCACCGGGCACTTACATCCCTCGTCTTACTTCATCCTCATTAAGCAGCTCTTCTTCCCATTTTCCAGCTCAGGAAACTGAAGTATAGATCTTAGGTGACACCTACCTAGCAAGGGTAGGGTGGGGACTAGAACACGGATCAAAGCCACTACTTGCACTGGACACGCAACACTCCAGGCTCCACACACTACAAAGCATTAACCTAACAAGTGCAACCCCATGGCCGGCAGTTACAGGGAGTGTATGGTAATGACAACCATGGAAGACGAACTAAAAAGCACACTGATGAGGTCCGAGACCAGCGATGGATCCACATTGGGAGACACAGGGAGATTCCTAGGAATCCACTTAATTTGGGAGCAATTTCAAAAACATCGTAAAGACTCCTCCCAACAGCCATCCCAACAGCCTTCCTAAAAATAATAATAAAGTGAGCTAATGTTTACTAAGAAATATATTCCTATAAATAGAGACGAAAAATTTTTCTGAGCAATAATGTATATTCATCACTTTTAACTCATTTTCACCTATTTTATGTTTAATATTCACAGCAACTCTGAGAGATAAGCACTATCTCTTTACTGAGAATAAAAAATCGAGTGATTCAGATTTGATTAAAAATCACTAAAACAGTCCTAAGAGGGATGAATGATTTCAGTAACCCCCAGAAATTATTGCCCTAGACGGACCCAGACTCGCTACATGCTGCTGTGAGCATTTTCATGACTGCTTAAGTTAAATCTGCCTTTAGATCAGGCTGGTGCCTTTTTGCCCAGACCTCCATTCTGCCCACTCCCTTCCCCTCCTCCAAAAAGGGGGATGAGTTTAACCATTTTGGTACATGCTATAAGAACTTCACAACTTATTCTGAACTCTCATTTGATATGTGTAGGAAAGTGACAAACTTCTCATACTCTTAAGTGAAATGACTAGTCTCTCTCAAGGTAGGTTTTGGGTTCATACCCTGGCTGCATGGTTAATAGGTTAATATTTAAATGATGTCAATCTATTAAATCTAAATGCTCGCCTGGTGCCAGAATAACCATTGATATATGGTTCCGAAAAAGTGGTTTCTGTCTAGCTTAAAACATGAAGGGCAAAACAAGAGTTTACCAAAAAGAATTAAGTTTACCAGGCACTTCTGGTTGTCTCGAAGCCATTGAAAGACTGGGATCCAGGTGCTTTTTCTATATAGAATTCCGAGTAGAGTCCCTGCTACCTAATAAAAATAACAAAGGGCATTTTCTTACAGTGAACATCAAAGAATAGCTCCAATACCGTTCTTCTGACAGGCACACACAGCTTTGTGGCTTGTTTACAAGGCTGAAACACACATGAAAGAGCCAGTGGGTGACAAACATGCCAAGGGGGAAAGAAAAAAGTCTCACACCACCTGTGGCTGATCTTAACACCTGTGCCGTGACAGGTGGTGAAAATCTCACCTTACCAGCGTGAAATGGTGTGACGATTACGCTGACAGACAGATATTAACGAGGAACATCGTCCAGCTGCTGCAAGTTAGCAAAGCTGCCCAGAACAAGTCCATCCATTCCAGAGGTCCTAAGAACAACAAACAGCCAGCATTGGTACAGCCCTTCAGAGTCTGCCAAACACTTTCCTGTACCTTCATCCATTCCCCCTAACAACCCTGCCAGAGAGATTATACTCATCTCATTTTTAGATAAGTTAGGGTCCAAATAACTTGACCCACAGCAAGGGGCTAAGTACCATAGTAGGTAAATTCATTCTTTGTTGCTAACCCTAATATTTATCAGGGTTTTATCCAACATTTATCTTGTGTTTTAACCCTTGGAGGAACACTGCAAAGCAGGCATTAATTATCCCCAATTTAAAGAGAAGGAAACTAAAAATGAGAAGATAAATGATTTGTCCACGGTCACAGATAAGTGGCCCGCCCACAAGGCAGGTAGTTTCACCCCCACTTTACAGGGAAGTTCACACAAAGTGCTGAGAAAGCCAAGTTGTTTGCTTTTCAACTTGCTACACTGTCTGTCTATCCTGATGGAGCTCAGAGGGCAAACTAGCTAGTTCTTCATTAAAGAGCATCGCAGAAACCAAAGCTCAGCCATCCTCCGGGCCCAGGAGATACATCCCCTTCCACTTCTCCATCCCCGTCCCCTCCCCCCTTCTCCGCAGAGAGCCTGCATTTTCTTCACAACATACTGGACGATGCCAGCAGGATTTGAAAGGCCAGGTCTGACCCAACCCCCTCTCCCACTCGCGAGGCTAAGAAGGACTAAGGAGATTACGGCCGGGGCCTGGCGTAAGACCAGGGTTCCCTGAGGGCAGGGCAAGTAGGAGGCTTGCGAGGTGAGGGCGAGGAGTTGGGGTCCCGGGCTAGGCCGCTCCGATGAAGTCGAGGCGAGGCCCCGGGCGGGGCTGAAGGGCATCATCAGAGAGAAGCCCCACTGGAAGACCCCAGACGGCAGGGCGAGAGAGGCAAGGGGCTGCCTGGCCAAGATCGAAGTCGGGGTGAGGGGAGAGGCGTGGAGAGCCCCCAGGCCGGGGTCTGAGTGTAGGGGCGAGGGGCGCACCCCTCGGGATGGGCGGAGAACGTAGCCCCAGGGAGGTCCAGGCCCGGCCCATGTCGATACCTGTTCCGCCGCCGCGGAGCTGCCTGCGGCCCGAGCACCGGCACTAAAGAGGCTCCGAGGGCCCACGTCTTCCGAGAGGCTGTGGCGCAGTCGGGACCCGAGCCATGGTGTGAGCGGCGCTTGCCCGTGGCGACAACGAAAGCCCCGGGAACCAACTGAGGAGCACAAACCACCAGGCCAGCCGGCAGCCTTCCTGATAAAGCCTCCGGAGGCCGCTCCACTTCACGCGAGACTTGACCCGGGAGGTGCCCGGGGTATGCCGGGAGTTGTAGTCCACCATCGGGAAGGCCCCGCGACTTTAGCTGCACTGCGGGTAGCGGGCTTCTCAGCTCCAAAGGTGGAACTTGCCAGCTCCCAGAGGAAAAGCTGCCCTTTACCACCACTCTGTACCTGGGTCTGTGACAGGCTGAGGGAAGATGGAGGTGGCATAGTAAAGTGACACCCTCCAACCCGTTTCACAGAGGTAAAGTTGAGCCTCAGAGAGATGAGAAGTCACTTGACTAGTAAGAGTTGACGTGAGCAGGGACCCTCTTCCAGGAACGGCTGGGCTAGGCAGGCTTCACACGAGTAACAGAACCAAAAAGGGGAGCAAACCGCACCTGCCTCCCCTAGGTAAAGTGATCCTAATATCTCTTCCTTTTTACACTAAGGAAAGTGACTTCTCAAGAGGTGCCAGCTCAAATGTCACATCCTGGAGGAAGACTTCTTTTTTCCCTAAAGGGTTTACAAATATGACAAAGCAACAAACCGAGGAAGTAAAAGAAGTTGATAAAAACCTACCTACATTTCTACCTATGTCCAAAGCTTGCCATCAAGGCTCATCTCAGGAGGCTTCGGAGCTGCGGTGGATCTGACACGTAGATTTCAGCACTGGGCTTCCCAGGACTCCTGGCAGGAGGGAGAGGCTTTCTTCTCGAAGCTTGAGTGTCCTCACCAGCCGACTATGCTGGAGTGAGCCGTGAATTAAAGTCTTTTCTAAATTCTATAATTAGCTTATGAATAGCACAATTACAGCGCAGTGTGATTGTGTGTGTGTGTGTGTGTTAAAAGTGTTACTTTGTTAATTTGGAACTTAGAAAATATACCATAATTTTTTACCTTCTGTGGAAGCAAAGCTGACCCCTTGCCTTCCTCCATCACGGGGAAGGGGTACACCCCAAAGAGGGGAGGAAACAGCACTTTGCACCCTTCTATAAATCAGAAGGGAGAATGATCTTTCGTTCTTATCCCCAAATTGATAAAAACTGAAGTCTTTCCTCGAAGTTACTGACTCTCTGACTAAAACAACTTATCCCTGACTTTTGTGGTACTGATGTCTGAAGCTATGGCATGATGTTGGTAGATAGTAGCCATAGGAGAAAACTGCTGTTTTCCACAAAGAACAGACTAACTGTAAACTTTCAACTTTTGCAATCTTATGAGGTTTTCCCCTATAAATGGGTGTTGTATTTTTATTAGAAGAGTTTGTTCTTTTAAAACCTGGACTTCCCTTAGAAGCCTTCTTTGCAAGTAAACCAGTTTCCTAATGATCTGGTTCCATAGCTAAGGAGGATTCAGTCAGTCACAGCTGAATCCACAAGGCCCAAGAAGGACACCTTCGGAGCTGTTTGACCTCAGGCCATTTTGCACAGCTCCTGGGGTAGATCTCTTGCGGCAATAGAGATTCCTCTCCACCCCATCTTTTGTGCTTTTTTCCAACTCTGGTTTTGGTTCTTAGCTAAGCCTGCTTCCAGTTCTGTGCACAGCCACTTTATTTCCCCAAGGGTGGCAGCATCCTTGGGAAGTTGGGTTTTGAGGTCTGTGTGGTCCTTGTCTGGGGGCAGATAATAGTTAAGGGTCTCTGTGTGTGGCCAACCAAAGAATCTGGTTACCTTTTTATGTATATTTACAACATACTCTTACCAGGAAACTAATTTCCTAAATGCTTTTGACTCTGAATTGTCTTTTTGTACCTCCTTGGGCATTTCATACTTTAATAAACATGGAGTCTCAGAAATTGGAATTGACCAGGATCTCTCTTGCGTCCCCCCAGATGCCCCAAATCAGCCTGCATTCCTGCTGCATGGGGGGAGGGCAGGGAGCAGGACCGAATTTTGCCCAGCTGCCTTCCTCTAGACATCTGCCCTCTCTGGCCAGTTCAAGCCCTCAGAAAGGTCCACTCCCTAGACAGACCTGCCACCGTCCTCACAACTCATCAGCAGACAGAGGTATGATAGCAAGTGGGGCATTTGCATTTCTGGGGTCTCTAGACTGGGAGTGCTATCTGGAAGCCTGCCCCTTCTATCATGGAAGATGAGGCATTCCACCCAGCAGTGCTCAGGAACTGTCCCACCTGGCAGCTGTGTTAGGAAACTAACACTCTCATGGGGACTTTGGCAAAGGTACCTCAGCCAAGAAGTGGTGGGGTTGAAATTCAAGGCCAGGGCTGAGTGCCCAGCTCCTAGTTTGACTGCTGGCGGTCCTTGGCCTCAGCTCCTCCACTTTTAAAATCCCTGGGGCAAGAGTGTTGAAGGTACATTCCCGAGACAGAAACAACTAGAAGTAACAGCTCTCTCTAGTGGTGAGGGGGAAAGATTCCACTGAAGAAACTGAGGATGCTGGGCTAGCGGGTCAGCTGTCAGGCTGTCCTCAGAGACCAACTTCTCCAACCTGATATTACACATGATGCAGCTAAGCTACAGAGAACAAAAGGAACCCAGCCAGTGTCACACAGCTAGTCTGGGACAGCCGGTTAGATAGAAAATGTGTTCTTGTGTCTTACTTTGTTGTCAGTGCTTGGGGTGCTCCTTGCTTGGGATATACTGGGGAGGAAGACACAGTCCCTGACTGTGTTGGGCTGAATTGTGTCCCCTAAAAGTCATATGTTGAAGTCCCAACCCCTGGTGCTTCAGAATTTAATAGTATTTGGAGATAAGGTCTTTAAAAAGTGATTAAGTTAAAATGAGGTATTAGGGTGGGGCCCTAATCCAATCTGACTGGTGTCCTTATAGGAGGAGGAAGAGCCCCTGGGGTGCCCAAGCACAGCAGAAAGTCCATGTGAGGATGTGGTGAGAAGGCGGTGCATACAGTGAGGTGGCCATCCACAAGCCAAGGAGAGAGGCCTCAAAAGAAGCCAAACCTGCCGGCATCTTGATCTTGAATGTCTAGCCTCCAGAACTGTGAGAAAATAAATTTCTATTCTTTAAGCCCCACCGCGTGTGTGGTACTTTGATATGGCAGCCCCAGCAGACTAACAGGAGGAGACAGACAGACAATGAAAGAATGTGAATGACTACGTGTCAGGGGTCATGAAGTGTTAGCACCAGGTGCTATGTAATAGGGGGCCTGACTCTGGAACATCAGGGGAGGCCGCCCAGAGAACCATGATCACAGAGGCGAAGAAGCGGGTGGAAGAGGGTGCTCCAAGTGGGGCACCAAGGCAAGAGCAAAGACCCAAAGGCAGGAGAAAGCTTGTCTGAGGAACTAGGAGAGTGTCGAGTTGGAGGGTGGGGAGCAGATCACAGGGTCTTTGAGGTTGGCAGAGCCCACTCCCCCTGGGGAGTGAGGGGCTGTGTCAAAGTGGACACGGTGTAAACCACTCTGCAGCTGGCCTTCAGTGGGGAGGGGAGGGAAGTTAGGAAGGCTAGTTGGAATGGGCCATGGTGTGATTTTGTTAGGCTAGGTTTTGTTAGACTAGGTTGGGGTTTATCTGGATGGCAGAATAAGCATATTCAAATGCAGTTGCGAAGAATCAAGCAGAGAGGCAGGTGTGGAAGATGCAGATGAGTGAGGGGTTAAGAGCCCTGAGAAGCAGGAAGGGGCACCTGGCATTGGGTCAATTACTTAGGGTCTACAGGCTTTTCAGGAACCCACAAAGAAAACCTTTTGAGTGCTAAAAGTAAAATGTTTGGCTCCAAAATTTTGTTTTAAACCTGCAGAATCAAAATTAATATGTTCAATTAAATGTCTGCACAACAGATTATTATGTCTTCATTTATGATAATATTTATTTTTAGTAAAAATGGCATTGTATTTGAAAACAATTTGGGAGCTAGATTTTTCTCACCTTGAAATAAATCCCTAGTGAGCACCTTAGCGCTCCTAAAAACCACCATAGGCAAGCATAAACTAGAAAAGTTACCTGCAGCTAAAGAATTTTTAAGCAAAACTTTAAAAAATTATTTAGGGGCCAGCCCAGTGGTTAAGTTCACACACTCCACTTCTGTGGCCTGGGGTTCGCAGGTTCAGATCCTGGGTGCAGACTTACGCACCACTCATGAAGGCATGCTGTGGCAGCGTCCCACATATAAAATTGAGGAAGATTGGCATAGATGTTAGCTCAGGGCCAGTATTCCTCACAAAAAAAAAAAAAACACGAAAAACAAACAGCTTTAAAAGCTAGTATTGGAGCAATCGAGGGGATTTGAATATTGACTGTATATTAGACAATCATGTTACATCAGCATGAAAATTCCTGGCTGTTATATTGGTACTGTGGCTATATAGGAGCGTGTTCTTGTTAGGAGATAACTTCTGATGTTTTGGGGACTGAAATGCCATGATGTCGGTAACTAATTCTCAAAGAATTTGTGTGTGTGTGTGTGTGTCCGAATATATATATGAAGGCAGAGAGACAGAGAAATTAACTGAGGCAAAATGCTAACGGTTGGTGAATCTAGATGAAGGATTTACAAGTGTTCATTAAGCTATACGTAAATTTTTTTCTGTAGGTTTGAATTTTTTAAAAGAAAAAAATTGGGGAAAATCCAAATGTAAGATGGGTTAGTCAGAACTTGTTTAGGTGAAAGGAGAGAGATTTAACTCCTCCAGCTTAGTGCACAGAATCCCTCGGAACACCTGAAACTAGAGGCTCCCGTTTTCTCTTTCTCGTCTTATCTTCATCCTCTCTCAGTGTCTGTGGGAACATGACTGCTGAGAGCTCTCAGGGTTACTTCCACCCAGAAGAGACTGGCTCTCTTTCTCGATTCCAGTTTGAAAACCCCAAAGAGGGTCTGGCCTGGTTTGGGTCAGTGCTCCCTCCCACTCTGACCACTCATCTGTGGCCAGGAGGACACAATGACATTAGGAAGTGTCAGCTTCCCGAGGAATCTCATGATTGGGATGGGAGAAGCATTTCCCATAGGAAAAGGGGGAGGGGACAGAAAGAACAGTAGGTCTCAGCACATAGTAGATGCAATCAGTATCCTCTCAACACGGACTGATGAATATCGAAGAGA